TCTTTCATATTTTCATAATTTGAGGAAGGATTAATTGAATTATTGGTATTCTTCATTATGATTATCTTTATCGATTTTTAAATGTGTGTGTAGGGTTGTTGCATTGGTGAAAACATTTATTTTTTGTAATCTTTTGAAATTTCCCTCTCCAAATATGTTTTTTTTCCTCAAAACCCAAGCAATTCACATCTCAAAATTCGCCACAAGGATTATTTTTTTTTAATTTTTATTAAGTTAAAAAGCAGATGATTTGGGTTCACAATTTGATGCATTTTTTTATATCTTGAATCAAACTCCAGGTGATTGACTACTTTTATTAAGTGCATCGCGCTCTGTTTCCAGAACTACTATGAAGTAAATTTTCTGTTGCATACTGACCTTTTTGCTTCAATCCTAACATAAACATCAAGAATTTATCTTTGAACAATTGGTCCACTCTGCACTTCACTGATCAAAAAACAACAACAGTATATGCATTGTAGTGCATTGTAAGAGGACGCTAGGATTTATTTCTCCCAGCAAACAGAGCAGTACTATTATAGTAAAATGTTAACCCAACTATGCTTCCCTTGCCGCCCAGGAAAACCCATCAATAAAAAATCACAATTTTGTTTTGTGACTGTGTAAAAACTATGGAAACCTGTAAGTCCGCAGCAATTGCGAGATAAACAAAATGAATGACGGACTCATTCTAACAAACCTATGTATAATATGTAATTTTTTTTTTAAAAAATTTCAACGTGCTAAAATTACACTTGCTCGGGCAGAGTGTGCGCTAGAAACTGAACTCTAACACTATAAAAAAACTATTAAAACACGTCATTTCCAATCGCTGTTACCAAGTATACAAATGTTGCTACATACATGAAACGAGACTTCCGTTTCGGTACACACAATTTGTTTACATGTCGTTAGGACAACTATTTCTCGCTATACTATCGTAACGCGAGAAATTATAATTTTCCTGTGCTCCCCAAGAGTTTAACATGAGAGTGTATACCATATCGTATTCCACAGGAATTGTATGTATAGCAAACCATATAAGTTTTTATGAAATTTCGTTGAGAGAAAGGTTCCTGTTTATTACGATTCCGAGAAAAATTCAACGATAAATTCAGCCGCTCTGGGTGGATAACTAGACACATCTTTAGTAAAATGCTTCGCTTGTCAGTCCGGAATCTAATGTTTATTTTGGTTTCATCTTTACAACTGTCTGGTATATCCTGGATCTCATGATTTTTCCTTGTTTGGTTCTCTTCTTCATTTTCAGTTTCAATCGCCAGTGTGATGCAGAGTTACGGCGTTTGCTTTTGAGACTACCTCAATCATGTAAATTGTCCGAAACCAATAATTTTGTTTTCGATTCGCATTTAACCAGCAGTGAAATTTTTAGGCCATTATTTTCACTCGGAAATTTCCGGAATTTTTCCGTGACCGGTTGACAGGGTATGCTTACTCCTCTATGTCACCTAATCTTCACATTTCGTAGGTATATCAAGATTGCAGCTCTGTTAAGGCAGCATAAAGGGGGCGGGGCCTAACTTACACGGGAAATGTCTACTGTGACATTACACAAATATAGCAGTTCCTCACAACAACAGAAAATGAATAATTTGCGGTTTTAAACTGCATAAGAGTGATGAACGACATCAAAACTTAACACTGCATTCATTTTGTCACACACACAGGTACTTGTGGACAGGAACCCCCCCCCCCCCCCGATATTCAACCCCAAGGTTTGTTCGACATTTTTTCACAAATTATATTTATTACACTTATTCATCATGTGTACAATGGGAAAAAAATCGTGACCCCCCCCCCCCAAAAAAATCGTTCCACACTAAAATACCCCACTATACATTATAAGAGAGAAAGGTATGCCACTCCGGTTTGTTTACGTTGTACCCCCACTGGTCTTCCCGAGTTTAAAAACATGTATTTATTTTATTTTAACCTAAAATGTCGGTTCACACTGTCTCTACATATATTTCTGTCTTAGTTCATGCTATCGGATTGACTCTGCATCTCGTTAGAATCCCACAATTTCTCCTTAAACAGCATTGCAGTCAGTGCGTTGAAAAATCCTTAGGTAAACGCAACGAAGAAATTTTGTTATAGGAAATGAAAGCACTAAGTCTCTACTTTATTTTGATATATGAAATGGGACAGAGGGTGATAGTCAATTAATTGATATAAGGACAGGGCCATTTTATGCATAAAGTGAACCTAGCTCTTTGTTTGTTTCATTTGTTTAACGCTGAACACGACTCGAAAATAGTTATACGCCATTTTAGATTTACTTTCTCCGTTATCAGCATTGGGGTATACCTTCGCATTCGATATGCTTTATAATAGCTATGTAGCATACGTCCGTCTAACACAGGTGACAACTGATTACAGTGACTAAGTGAATGGCTTATATAGGGGCCTTCAAATATAACAACTAAATAAAAGAATATGGCTGACAAATTCCGAATCGTATTCAGTTTAACGTCCCTTTCATTTTTCACTCATATTGAGACGCCATCTCTTTTTAGTGAAGTGCTGTAAATTTTGACCTTTACTCCGCATTCAGGGCCATTGAGCAGTGAGAGATCTTTTTGCCAGCAGCTACTGCTACACGGGATCTTAAATTGATTTGTACGGTCTCATCCGAAGGACTTGTCTCCGCGTCCCTCCTTACTCCACGACAGAATACGCTCTAACGACTGTGCCACGCGGGCAACCTAAATCTAACTGTAAAAATTAGCTTGGCGTAAAATTTTTAAAGATGATAAAAAAATAATAATATTTGCAAATAATTCATACATCTTTGACAAATTATTTAACAATTTCCTTCGAATAGGCGAAGAATCGGTCATTCTAAAACAACATGACGTATAGTTAACGGCCAGTCAAAAGATGTGCATTCAGATTGAAGTTTCCATTAAGTACATGTAGGTATGATTGGATCATTTTGGAATAAATAAATATGCATTAAAATGATCACATCGTCCTGACGTTACAGGCCGAAGTCGGACGACTTAAAACATCTTTTTCAATTGCATAAAGTTTATATGTATAACACCCCCCCCCTCCAAAAAAATGCAAAGAGAATCTATATAAGATTATAAACATAAACAACGTATAAGAGCATGTTTGCAAGAAAAACAACTCTCATCTAGCTGTGAAAAAAATTTGTGAATGAATTTTAACTATGAAACATTTAGGATTATTTGACATACTTTTGGCATGTAAGTATAATTATTTTTATTAAATGAATGATCAAGTATGTAAAAGCTATTAAAAAAGGTCGATTTCCGATTGGGTGTTCACTAACCAACCTTGCAAAGATAAAACCAAGGGTGGTTATTTTACAGCGGATGCCGAGTAAATAAAGTATAGAGTCAGTGTGAATCGTACAGTGACAAAACTTGCATAGAATTTGTATCTTGACAAGCAGACAAGTAAAGATGCTTCGGATACTAGTACTGTAGTTGATTTCCATTTTCCAGTACAGTAATCGCGGTGGTTATGACCGGTCGACCGGGGATGTTTACTCATTCTAGGCTTCTGAACCCTACCTCTGGTTTTTCCAAGGGTCCATGTTTTTGCCCTGTTCATTTCATTTACTGGATTTATGAGATTGATTGCTGTTCGTTATCATAACATTTTACATCATATTTCTAAGAGGATCCGTTCCCTGCAGGTGATAAAAATGACCCAATTTGCATAAATCACGTTGCACTATGCATACAATATGTACAAGGAATGGGGAACCGGGTCTCAGATGCTGTATGTGAGCACCATTTACAGGTAAAGAATCAGGTTTATGTTTTAACACTCTGTAAGGTAAACCAACTTTTATTCGCGAGCGAGAAATATCTGCCAGTTTCGCGAGCTTCGTTTACTCGCGAATATTTCTCGTCGCAAACCAATGATACACCTAAGCATTTATGTAGAATGCTGCCTTCATCGCGAAAATAAATTGTCGCGGATTGCTTCCAAACTATGGAATCGCGAATAATAGTTGGTTTACAGTATTCGATCTCTCATTTGCGAAGTAGTTTGAAAGACATTTTAATGACTTCACCATAAGTAAAGCGAGGGTATTATATGTCATTCCTGATGCTAGCTGTTGTTATTCAGAATTTGAGTTAATGACTTATATGCAACGTTCTTTCCACTTTTAGAAATGATTGTACTTATTCGTTAATCATGGTTTTGAACGCATTGAGTTTCTTATTTCTCCACAATTATGTGACTTCGTGTCATGAGATTAGTTTGAAATAAGAACTACTGCTATTGGATTGCGATCACAACTGACATAATTCATACCAATTTTAAGTCATCGTTTTTATACTTACTTTTACTACAGATTATTCCTGTAATCTGATCAAAACAGAGGGCTCGTGGCGGATGTGATCAGTTTACAGAGGACGCCTTTTCCTTCTAGGTATCTAATTTCACCTCGGGTGTTTCCTGGGGTCCATATTTTTCGCCCTGTTTACGATTTATTGTTTACAAGATCACTCTTCGTCTTCACCTTTTTCAATGACAAAAGTGACTCAAATTTTACTGTTAAGTTTTTTTTTTCCAGATATAAGTTTATTCCAAGTAATTAACAGTAATTATACAACGACAATTATATATAAAAATTACTCAGTATCAGCACCTTGTATTGTTGATTCCCAAAGCGAAACCTCACACATTATTATATTTAACGTATTATAAATATTCCAAATTATTGATTTAATTTCTGGCATGCTTGCCTTATAAGAAAATTAATATTGAAACCGCATTTTCGTTAATTGTATGCAAATCAATGAAAACTAAGATCTGACACCTTTACGGAAACACTGTGCATGCATTCTCCCATTCCGTTAGCACACATCTACATTGAATAGTGAAGAAGCTTGGCAAAAAATATGTTCCAGTTCTCTCTCTGCTATTGGTAGATGCCTTAATGGATTCACTTAACACAGCATATTAAAACGATTGGACGAAAGCTAGGAAGACATGTCGGTGGTTTAGATGCAGCTTGTTTATAAGATTGTAGTCTATCGATCCTGGAGTCTTCGTCAGTCGTGATAGACATTCCACGGACAGGTACAGAACTAACGCGCGCACGGAAAATCTGAGTGGAAAACTGAATCTGTGTATTCTAAGAGCTTGATTCTACCTATCCTCATTCTGTTTTGAATCTGAGACTGTGCGGAAAAAGAAGAGGTCAAAATATAAACATTTTTCTTCCGCAGGGGTGTTTTTCCAAAGAAGAAAAATTTCCATTTAAAAAAATATAAATAAAACAATCTTTTTTCCACCTTTGTGAGAACCGGAAATTTTGAGGCATGTTCGTTTTTCATCGGTAAGTAACTTTTTTTCACTTTCACTTCGCACTTTTGAGCAAATTAAAGGTTATTATCACTTCTTACGGAAATAGAACATTTCAGAAAAGCCTACTTCTTGTCAATGAAAAATGTCGGTCAGTTATTTCTTGTTAGTTATTTATTTATGAACAATAAGAAACATAAAAAAGAATTTGACGCAAATTTTAATTTGAATAAATTGCATTTCGCGAATATTACTCGTATACTTGTATGATAAAATTGATCATGAAACATTAATTGATGTAAGAGAAATTTTGTGCGCACAGTGGAACAATTGCCTTGTCAAAGGTTCAATGTAACTAGTGACCAGTAACCCTCCCGGGCTTTTGGAGTGATTGCCCAGAGTCACCCGTATGTTGTTGTTTTAGAAAATATATTCCACAGCACATAGCAGGATTACTAGAAGCTCAATTACAGAGACCGATTCACTGTATGCCTTTAACAAATAAATGCTGCAATAATACTGATTGTATTTGGGTAAAGAACCCGTTGTCTTTTGCGTAATAAGCGATACCAAAATCTGTTGTTGACAGAAGATAACTTTTGAGCGTGCGAGTCGATACATTGGAGATATTCGTTCATATACATTCTTAACCTTTTAATTATTATTTATACCAATATTAATGTCTGATTTCTAACTTCTTGATAAAATGAAGGGGAAAAAATACACAAATGATTTTTTAAAAACTTTTTAATATTTTCTGCCATACTTAATAAGTGAAGTTTTATTTGTAATTTATAAAGCACGACTTATGTAAAGAAGCTATTTTCAGATCTGAAAGGTAAGTAACTTCCGCTCATGACGTCATGCACCATCTATATTCAGTAGCCTTGTGTGAGGACGAATTAATGTACCTGTTCTCTCCTGGTTTATTCTAATCACTCAGTTGACCTAAAATGAACCTAGATTCAATTCTCAGTACACTTCATTAATGGTCTTAATTTCTGTTTCCCAGTTTAATCTTAAAATTTCAAAGTGACTAAAAATTAAGAATAGAAAAATAAGGTGTCTTTTTGAAATCCTCACTTAATTCTTTCTTCTTCCATTTTATTTAGTATTTATACTTACGAAGTTTAGATGTTAAGTTTTTAGAGAAAAGATATAGTTTGTTTTTTACTTGCACGGTACACGTACAAAGATTAATTATTGAAAGTACATGTAATTCTTTTTTGTTACAGATTTTTTAAATTTTGTTTCATACGTCATATGAGTAGGTTATGGATTTCTACATGTTTATATATAGGTAGATCATATAAACAAAGTATGGAAAGCTTAAATGTGAGCAATATATCTCGTTTATTATTTGAGACAATCTATAAACTTTGCCGTGTATCTGTTACATTTTTGCTTACGTTTTTAAAATAACTTTGACCTGGAAATTCACTTCGTGCGGAAAGAAAATAAAATTCGGTTCGTGTTTGTATTAATGTTTTTTTTCGTAATAAAATACGTCCTAAAACTTAACGAGTAACACTGAACACTACTCACTTTTATAATGACGTAACCGTTGATGGATAACAGATTTTAACTAAGAAATGTATACCATTTTTATGGATGTGTTGTATGAAAGATATATTTTATTTTTATCTGCTGGTTTGATTATTTATAAATCATTTTGAATTTCTTTAAAAAAGAAGTAAACTCTATGAACTTTTAAAAATTTAGTATTCGGAGGAAACATATTTATCCCTTGGCATTATCCAGTTACATAAAGATTTATCGATTTTATAATGAACTCGACATCCCATATATCACGCTGAATATGAAGAACATGTATCTGTTGCATTTCAAATATACAATACGTTTTCACAGGAAGAGACAAGAATTCATACAACTTTGTTTATCAAAAGTCAAAATAGTAGTACAGAGGATTCAGCACAAAAGTCCCGACTTTGCTGATTCCACAAAAAAAAAAAAATTGTGAACTATTTATGAAAGGATTTTAAAAAAAATGTTAACATAGCCATTCAATTTTATCAATATGAAAGATTAAATAAACCTGGAAAATTTATTCCTAAGACAGGCATTTTTTAAAACATGATCATGAACATTAGAGAGAGTTAACAATTTAGCGCCATCTTATTATGTGTTCCAAATGGCTGCTGTTTTCTGTCACCACTTCATTTTGTTTTTCAAATATCTTTTGCTCTAATTTGGATACAATTCATAAAAAAGGTTTCCTACAAAGATGCTTTTCATCTGGGTATTTCTTCAAAATCCTGTTCACTAGTATTTGTGATTTCTCGATTACATAGTACAGTTTAACAATATCAATATTGGGATCTCTTTTAACATCCATTTAAAAACTACCTAACTTTTGATGATGGCATCAAAACTCAAAAAAACAATCCATGTCGTTACAATATATTGTGTTCATATTATCATGTAAATTATGCCCTCGCCAAAGTTTACATGTACTGTGTTTCACACGTACTTTGATCTTAATTAGGCTTGTAGAGACGAGAGACGTCTCTTGAAATAATATTGATGACAGGAATGATATTAATATCTTCCGATGGAAATAACAAAAACTTCAAACATCGTCGTAGAAGTGTCATCTACAATAGGAAAGTTGCCGACTCCTTTTGCATGATTCAGTCTTAGCAGGAAAACTCCTACTGTTAATTTCTTTGATAAACCAGTTTTTATTAACTCGAGACTTTTCCTGTGGAAACGTGGTCTATATTAATAAACCTTGATTATTTATTGGATTCTCTGCAGTACATCAATAAATAAAGTTTAATTTTAAAATGTTAATTCGTCATTGAAGATTGGTGTTTTCGCTTCGGTTTAGAACCATCAATAAATATTTCTAATAGCTCTATGACACTTTTGCTGGTTTTTTAGAGGTTTTGTTCTCCCTAACTCAACGATGGATTTGATTTTTGTATAAGTTTCTGCTCTACAACTCTCCCATTATCGTTTGTCATCAAGAATTGCGATATCTTCAGAACAGCAAATTTTCGGGATGTTTAAAAAGCATCAAAGTACATAGCTTGAGAAAATTGTGTTATGAAAATAATGTTATTGTTCCAGATGACGAAGAACCTAATCTTCGTGAAATGTGGACTTATTGATTTCCTAGAATTTGGTATTGTGAATTAAAGGCAATAACAGAAGATATAGGAAAATTGTCTGTAAAAGTTTTTTAATGCGTTAATCAATTAAATTTTTCTCAACGTCATTCAAGCGAAATCTGTTTAACTGTTAACGTTGCACCGTTTTAATTCATTACAAAATTATTTTTTCTACATTTAAAGAACTATATGCGGTAAAAGCATATTTTGCCCCATAAAAGGCAAATTTTGAAAATCTCTAGAAATATACATAATTGTATATATTGTATGAAAATTATGAATTGACAAAACTTATTATAGTTTGGAAGTAGATTATCGTCAATGCTTGTTTCTGTTATGTCACAAACTACATGTATTTGAATTTTCCGTTATTTTCAAGATAAAGGACAAAACAGACAAAATTTGTTCAATACTGAGTTTAGAATCTACTGAGCGCAATCTTGTTCCTCAACAATATTCACATATTTGATTGATATTTATAACTCTACAAAAAATATTAAAGATAGAGACAAAATATTAAAGATAGAGATGGGGCAGATCACGTTATATGACGTTTAATCAAATTATGAACGTAAAATACACTTTTTCTCTCAAAATTATTAAAAATTTGAATTTACGTGATCTTCTTGATGTTAATCTAAGACGTGACTTCAGGCTAATGAAAAGAGGTAATGCTTTCAAGTCTACCCGGTTTAGAACATAATTATAGATTTCTCACTCAAAGTGTTATTTTGGGGGCAGATATTGGTCATTTCCGAATATAGTCCTTTTTTCCACTAACAGTGCTAGAAAAAGAAGAGTGCTTTATTTTAAGATTCATTGTATCTGTAATTATCCTGTGTGTCGCTGAAATAAATCAACTATGATTTATATGTCTCGGAAAACAGGCAAATGTTGAATATAATATATGTCTACTGTAACAACTAACATTAAATATAACATAAACTCTCATGAAACCTTTAAATGTCAAGGTATAATTTTTGCACATGCATCAACAGGGGCTGGTGACATACTATGCTAGATTTTTTTTGTTATCACTGTTTATTTTATATAAATTTAGAAATTTATTTCAAAATTAAGGATTATCTCCCTCATGCATAGCTCTAATCCTTCGACGTATTTGGCTCCAGTCTTTGGCACCCCTTTTTCAGCACCTCCATCTTTTTAATTAAATATTTCGGATTTCCAACGTTTCGGCATGAGCATCACTGAAGAGACATTATTTGTCGAATGCGCATCTGGTGCATCAAAATTGGTACTGTATAAGATTTACATATATAAAAAGGAAAAGGAAATCAACGTCAGCCAAAATTTACATGGGGTCGAACTAACATCAGTAACATTGCAGCCAGTCGAATAACGACTAAAATCATTCAGCAATATTCTTTGATAAAGACGTCCACTCAACACAGCATCCAAGAGACGTCAATGGTGAAAATTATTTTTCTAGGAAATTTTGACCAATCACTTACCACCTTCCAACTTGCATGTGGTTTCCCAAAATGGTGTCTGTTCTCGACTCGAGCTTCAATGTGAACTAAAACTTTAATCGAAGAGATGAGATTTTAAAATTGCAAATATTAAAAGACATTTACGTTTACCAGTTTCGATAAGACTTTTAACTGGATTTTATTTGTGGATTTTGCCTCGTTTTAGCGGACGACTTAAGGTACATCAACTCGCTTGACTGGATATCAGATGTGTGTACATTTATGACCCAACTTAAACGCTTTATTATTAGATGAATGGGGTTACATATTTATATAAGGACAACCATTGTAGCATGATTCCAGTTGTATTGGCTGTAAGGTATTTTTATTTTGAATAAAAAGGTATTTTTGAGATCGACTCATTCGGGCAATCGTTGGTTTCCTCGACGTTGGTTTCCTTTTCCTTTTTG